GCTTTGCACCCAGCCATCCTTTTTTTTAGATCAGCTTCCACAGTTAAAGTTCTCTTTGATCTGAGTTCTCTGTAATCCAATGCAGCCAGATTTCACATCGGTGAGCACACGTGTTGTGGGAAGTCTGCTTACTAAATCCTCTGCTGCGTAAATTCCTCTCTTTGCTTGGTTTATCATCAATTGGTTTCAAACTTACAAGGTAGTTTTGAATTCGCTTGATGAACATTACAACATTTTTATGTGAAAGACAACAAGGGGCCTGAAACGGGTGTGGGGAACAGCTGTCCTTTACCACAAACAGGAGTTCCTAGGTCAACAATTTACCAATTAAAAGTGGGGAGAACTGGTGCACTACATGACATAATAGAAAGCTCATGAACGGAGCAGGTATGCTGTATACATTAGAAAGCTTAAGTCTTGATTTTGACTGAAGTTTTTTTCTGGGACTAAAATACTTTACCAGTCCATATCATCATAAAGTGATGGACCCCCTCACATATCTCAAGCCATCCCAAACCTGAACCCTAAGGCCTCATTCACACACAACGCAAGCAAAATTGTATATTGCTTATATACGAGCGTCTATGCGCGTATATACAAGTGTATATGCGCGTATATACGTGCACTATTTGCATTCCCAGAATGCATCATTCCTAATGGAAATTTTTATGAACTGTACGCATATGCGCGTTAAAAACCGCAGAAATATGCTGCCCGGACGCATCTCGGTTCCATTCTGTTTTTGCGCATATATACGCTATGCAAATATACGACTCCATACGCGGCTATGTGTATGGAGCCATTAATTTGCATATGTTGCATATGGTACAATACGCACAAATGCGCGTATATGCGCAGCAGTGTGAATGAGGCCTTACAAAGCTTGAATGCAACTACTAAATGCCACAGCACTTGGTATTTAAGTAGACTGCTGCTGGGTTTATAGGAGAATATGGTTTGCATTAAAGGACAATTAAACCCCTGCAGTTTTTTGCATATATTTATTGCTAGCAAGCAGTAGATATATGCAAAAACATAGAAAAAATAAAAGTTACCAAAAAGGTTAAAACGTAACTGTCTCTGCCGCGCGCTCCCGTCCAAAGATCTGAAGATTCTCGGGCGGCTGCAAAGGATCATGGGGCAGGCACATGCACAGTAGGGATCTTTGGTCGGGAAAAGAGGAGAGACACAGTGTAAGTCAATGCAGCAGCGTGCACCCGCACAGACTCCCTGGGACACAGAAGACAGCGCTGGATCAGAGACCGGCACCAGCGCTGGAGGGACTCCTGAAAACTACAGGAAAGAAAATGATGATCCGATCAAGAGGCATAATTTCAGGTAAGTCCTTAAAGCAACATATGGGAGGGAGGGGGGGTTAGACTTTAATGTCACTTTAAAGCCCCTTTGCATTTCTGTGTTGCGGTAATGTGTTAACATGTGTTACCATGTGACCTCAACACAGGTATTCTATGAGGTGACCTGTGGTGCCATCTATTTAGCATGACACTACAAAGCAGAGTACAGTAGATGCTGACAGACCCGTACTACAGCACACCACAACATACATACTATGCTTTATGCAATGGGAAATCTTCCAATATGTACACATGTTCCAGTGACAGTTGTACTGTGGACCTGTTCTGTCTTTGAGACAGGGAGTGAAGGAAAATCTCCCCAATAGGGCACAAACAAAAAAAACTCTCCCAAAACCTTAACCATTTCCTACTGTATCCAAAACTACTAAAAGAAAACACTTAAATATCATACATAGTATATAAAGTTGCATTACTTAATATCAAACAGAATTTAAAAAAAATTAAAAACATAGACATTCTTTGTGGAATAACATCAGAGCCGCAATATATAACCGCTGGAACCAAATGAACTTGAGCGCTACTTTATGCTGAACAAAAAAAACACAACTGTAAATCTACTTAGATTAGATATGAAAGCCAGCTATCTGCAATATTGTAAAGTGTGAAATTCATCGCCTTCAGCATCTGGTCCTAATCCTTATTTTACCATTTAAAAGATATGCAATGTTTTGAATGTGAAGCAGGCATTTCATTTGGCCAAGACCAGCTAAGGGGTTTCTGGAAGTACATGAACTATACTTACTGCAATTACGTTTGCATGATATTCTAATTATTCGAGTTTCACCTGTATATACATACATACACACATATACACACACACTGTATATCATGATAAAACTGAAGGCATTCAGGGCAGGAAATCTATAAAATCAATGACAACTGCAAATACCATCCAGTACAAACTGCAACTATGTCAAAGCCAGGAAGTCCCCTAAATTTTATATTATTTAACCCCTCAAAAAACATACTTAGCAGACTTTTTATAAGGTTTCTACGGTGAGCAGTAGCCGCTTAAATTTCAGCATTGTAGTGTCATCTGCAGTGCAGATGTCAGCTTGTTCAGACCTCAAACACAGTAAATGTACAGAGCCGAGGAAGTCTCCCTAGAGCTCCTTTTCGACTCTGCCTTCTCGGTTCTGAGGGGAGGAGTTCCCCTCACTTTTTCTTGGCACTGTATCGGAGGGCTGGTAAGAGGGCTTCAGGGGAGTTTGTGGTCTCTACTGGGGGGGGGATTTGGGAGAAGAGGTCAGTACTGAGGGGCATTTGGGGGGGAAGGTCTGTACTGGGGTTGATTTGGGGATGGGGAGAGATCTGCAGTAGGAGGGTGCTATTTACTGAAAGGGGGAGGGAATTTTCGGTTTTAGACATCATTCACACGAGAAACAGCCGGCCCGTACAGATCCGTGCTGCGTGCACGGCTGTATTGGGCAGCTCTCGGGAAGGACAGGTGCTGCGTGTAATTATACGCAGCAGCCTTTCCTTCTCTATTGGAGTATGCGGCCTTTCGCCACCCTAGGCTCACCCGACCTGCACATCTGTGCTGGTGTCCGTACTTGTACGCTGACAGGGTGGATCCTATCTGCGTCCGAGCCGGGACACGAGCACCCGTATGTACGTGCAGGTCGGGTGAGTGTAGGGCGGCGTACGGCCGCGTACTCCCATAGAGAAGGACAGACTGCTGCATACAAATCACATGCAGCACCTGTCATTCCCGGAAGCTGCCCGATACGGGCGTGCGCGCAGGACGGATCTGTACGGGCCGGTCGTTTCTCGTGTGAATGAGGGCTTACTGTGTACACTGGCCTGTTCATTGTGTATTCCTGACCACGACACACTGTGATCCCTGCAATCAGTGCATTAAGTACTCCTGACCTCTGCAATCCATGCACTACACACTCCTGACCTCTGCAGTCTGTGTGGAACGCACTCTTGACCCATAGCAGAATAAGCTCATATTTTATTTCTTCCACACTCCGTTAGGCCTCTCTCATCAATTCCAAAATTTGGCCACACCCACAATTTGGTGCTGTATGTGTCATTTCACTACTTAAGAGATTTTGTCTTTATACTTTGAATGTATTCCTCTTTTTCAAAAAGTTTGCAACCAACTGTTTTGGGGTGTGTTAAAAATAGGGGCATGGTTTTGTAAGTGTGGCTACAAATTAGGCTGTGATTTTGTGGATGTATTTCAAAATGAGCATTGTCACCTGGGTGTCCACAGATTTCCTTTTGAAAATCTGGTAACCTTGTGATCTATTGAAAATGAAATAAAAGCACTGTGTAACAAACAGTTGCCATGTCGTTTTTCTTTCATAATATACTTTTATCCTGCTTTTATGCATCTCAGTGTTGCCGATGTCCTGCAGCCTCTTTCAGCCATTTCCTGTCTACATGCACTTCTTTCAGCATCAGCTGCAAATGCTTTGGATTGGCTTCCCCATAGTGACAGGAGTAGACCATGCCTGTGCTTTGTGTGTCGGAACTGCCATTTGTACTCTCCATCAGCAGTGTGCGTGATAGGGTGACAATGTAGAAGAACAACTGGGGGACAGTTTTCACCCCAGAACAGGAAGTTTTTGAACAAAGTCTTTTATGGCAAGATCCCAAGGTATTACTTTAACATAAGCTGCAGCTTTAAAAAGACTGAAAAATATTTTGAAACTACATGATACAGCATTCATGAAATGTAAGTGATTGTGTTTAGAACTACATTAAAGTAGAACTCCGGGCAAAACAACTCTTAACCCTTGAATTGGGGCTAGCCCCGCACTGCAAAGGTTAAGTTCTTATTTTTTCTAGGGAACTAAAACAAAACAAACCGTTATACTCACCTGAACTGCAATCCCAGCTTGCTCTTAGACTGGTCCCTTGAACCTTGCTCCAGTGGTCTCACGTCCTGTGAGTCATCATGTTCTATACAGTGTACAGGACGTGAAGATGCAGAGGGACATACCATCGCAGGATGTAAGCCCCAGCCAGGATTTGCAGTTTGAGTGGGTACAACTATTTTTTCTTTTTAGCTTCCTGGACAAAATGAGCACTTAACCCTTGCAGTGTGTGTGTGTGTGTGTGTGGGGGGGGGGGGGGGGGTTAACCCACTGCAAGGGTTAAGATTTATTTTGCCTTGAGTTCTGCTTTAAGGCTGTGGAGATAGTAGGCTGTGTTCTCTAAATTGTTTCCTATGCAGAATATCTATACCTGAACAAGGTGAAGATATAATACAGGATATCTGTGTATACACAACCTGCTTTATAATACAGCATAGACGGTGATTGGTAGTATAACAAATAAGATCTATTATTAGACCATACAGTCTACAGGGCCCATATTAAAAAAGGAAGCTTTCAAAATGACTTGCATGCATGCACTACTTTTGACCTGAGATAGTTGTGAATAGAAGCATGCATGACTTTAGTTCACCTGTCAGGATTGCACTGCTGTCTGTGTCCCTATTGGGGATATGTTTCCACTAACTCTAATCACTGAAACTGAAAGTGCGAGGAAATCTTCCCAGCAGGAGAACCTGCGGCAATAAATCCAGACAAGGATTGTAACTCTTCCACACCACATAAAAAAATGGTAGTTTGGGATGAACCATATAGATACACATGAAATTATACATACCTTAGCTTTGCCATCCTGAGCAGACATATATCCCACACACATGCTCTCTGTTGTATGACTCCACAGGAACTCCACTACAAAGTACAAGCGAGAATTAGGACATACATGGTTCCAAAAACAAGCAAAAGTAACAGGAAATATGGCTTATAAAGAGTCTCCACAACACAAGTGCATGAAAGCAATGGATTTTACCCAGTAGAGCCTGTTTATCTCCTGTGGAGTCTATCTTTGAGGAACACCTGCATGATCGAAGCACAATTACGCCACCTAGGATGCTGTCTTCATTAGCCAGGAATGGGGAGCCTGAAAGAAATCCATTCAGCTTAAGATATAATAATCAACAAGAAAATGCAAAACATATCAAAGCAGTAATATTTTACATAACCCTCACACAAATATGTCATAACCCTTTTTAAAAGCAATGTACGGGAAATTCCTAATGTATAGCATGCCTACAGATATAATTATATAGCTGCAATTTGTCTGTGATTTTCATGATATATGAGGAGCACATAACAAGCACTTCTCTTTTTTTCCAGAGGCCACTGTCAGCTGTACTCCACATTACGTGTAAGGAAAAAGGTGAGTGAACTCTTCAGCCTCCATTAGTGTGTAAACAGAGGATCTTTTGGGCACAGCACTGCTTGCAACATCTAAGCCATTTTAGGGAAAGTGACCCATTACTACATAAACAGTACAAATGGGACAGTCCCTATGCCAATTACTTGCCACATCTTAAAGTGAGCCAAGCTGGGTAAAAAGGTTTCAAGGGTGGGTTCAATGTTCCGTTAAAAAAAAAAGGACAAATCTCTAACCTCCCATAGCTCTCAATTAAAGTTTGTTGGTATATGAGAGCCTACTGGAAATCACATAACTTCGGTCCTAGCATTTGTACCTCCCTATATGCAACACACTGCCACCTAAACAGAAAGTTGATAACAGCTATGAACAGCATATACACATACAGATTATACAGTCCGTTGAGAGCCCCAGACAAGACAGAATGAGAGTCCAAAAATATTTAAAAGTGGAATAATGGAATGGGTAAATGACAAAGAACAGCCAACTCGTTTCAGGAGTTTAAAGACCTCCCCTTCTTCAGGGATTAAACATGATACGTAGTATTATGGACTCAAAAACTGGCACAAATCACTAAGGAATATTTACTTGCTGTGTAGAATATAGGCAACGTCAGTGAATTAACAAAACTGTGTATTGTGCTTAACCATTCAGGTTAAAGTGTGTGTGTAAAGGGTCTCTCCCGCCATCACAGTCAGCACTAAAATCCCCAGTGTCAGCTGATGTTGGACACGAGGGGGAGAAGTGATGTCAATAAGTCCGTTATGTGATATAACTTGGGCCCAGCAATTGGTTGAGCACGGCCACATTGATAGATGTCCCATGCTCCCCCATAGAATGAGCATTGGTATTGTCACCAGCTGAGGCAAAGGAAAGAGTAAGGGGGGCAGGGGCGAGAGAGAGACTGCTGGCGAAAAGAGCATCATTGGGGACCTTTCCACAGCCCAGAATGGGAAAGGCAGTGTCTTTTTAAGGACTAATTTTCATCATTTCAAAGCATGAGGTGTAAAGGAAATGTGTCATGAGAGAAATCTGTGGCTTCCATCTTTAAAAACATTAGCTATCTGGCTGGTATGCAGATACGATGACTAGATAATATTTTGAGCCAGTGACCTGCAACAATTATGTAGCCCATAAATTCTGATTTCACTTGCAGCATGCTTGTTTTGTATGCGATTAAAATTGTACTGAAGCCAGACACAGCTAATCAATTAGTATTTTGAGCCAGAAATGGCAATACATGTTTTGTTTTTTTTCAATTTTCCTTTGGCCCCTTTTTTTCCTTTACCCCTTTGTTGGCAGTGTGTGTTATTTCAAATATACTGATTTCAACTGAGGCAATAGAGTTAAATGGGTTAAATCTCGTGCTCACATGCGATTGAAATATCCAAGTGTAGTGAGGTCTTAAAAGTGTTCTCTATAGCGGTGAGCTTTCTGGCTTTAGAATTTTGCTCTCAACAGGGTACTGGTCGAGTCAGTTAAAAGTCATTTTCCTAAACTGGGCCAGCTGTGTATCACGTAGAGGGAAAAAGCAGAAAACAATCAAAAAAGCACCTCTGCCAAGAATCAAAGGAATGATTGGGCTAGCTGCAATTTAGTAAATAAAATTCCCAGAAATATGGACTAATGCATAGAACGTTCAGGGGCCATACAGTTCATGTGAAATAGGAGAAGAGGGGAAATGATGAATGGGACTGTTGCATGATGTGGATAGTATTAATCCGGGCACAAAGACATCACTATTCTCCATGCGTTGAATTGTACAGCAGGTGATTATACTGACAAATATATTTGGTGCATTGTTCCTTACAAAGCTCGTCATAGCAGGAATCGAGATCAAAAGGAGCTATGTTGTGAATTTAACCCCGGCTCCCAGAAAGAGAAGTAAATGTGACAGCACTATTCACCTCCTTTAGAGGAGATGATCTACTTGCCAAGATAAAATAACAAGAAGAAAAAAAAGGAACTTCTAGAGCCGAGTAACTAGAGGTCAGAGGAGAATGAAGAAGAATATAAACTTTATCAGGAACAGCATGGAGTAAAGACACAAATAAATGTGATAGGAAAAAGGGACTCAAAGATGTCTCAAGCTGTAAGCTTGATTTCAAGTGGTATAAGCCAGTACAGATATGCTACCACCTTTCTAATGGCAGTTTTAAAAACAGCAGCAAAACCTCTCTTTGTGCCTCAAGATTTTTTATTTATTTTTTAATAATGGCATATAAGTCCTCATTCAAGTACCTTCCCCATGTTTATTTCAGGGCAGCAGAGCCTTCCCCATGTATGTTACAGAGCAGCAGTGCCTTTCCCGTGCATATTACATGGCAGCAGTGTCTTTACAGAACACCGGTGCCTTCCTCATGTATATTACAGGGCAGCAGTGCCTTCCCCATGCATATTACAGAGCAGCGGTGCCTTCCACAAGCATATTACATGGCAGCGGTGCCTTCCACAAGCATATTACATGGCAGTGGTGCCTTCCACAAGCATATTACATGGCAGCGGTGCCTTCCCCATGCATATTACATGGCAGCGGTGCCTTCCCCATGCATATTACAGAACAGTGGTGCCTTTCCCAAGTATATTGCAGAACAGTGGTGCCTTCCTTATGTATATTATAGGGCAGCAGTGCCTTCCCCATGTATATTACAGGGCAGCGGTGCCTTTCCCAAGTATATTGCAGAACAGTGGTGCCTTCCTTATGTATATTATAGGGCAGAAAAGCCTTCCCAATGTACATTGCATGGCAGCAGGGAATACCAGTAACATTTGCCATGCCCTTAGCACAAAGCTATAGTGAAAACCCAGCCCATAACCATTTTAAAATCAGCTATAAATCTTAGACATGTAACTTTTGTTTAGTTCCAAATGAATATTCGTACAAAATTAGTAAAATTCAGACATTCAGATGCATACAAATTTCCGAATTTGAACGTGTCTGATTGCGAACGATTTTGAATGGTCCTTTTCGAATTCGGATCCATCCAAGTTTCGTTCAGAACTAAACTAAATCAGTCATGTGACTGTTTTCTGCCCAATCGGATGAGTTTTTTTGGGCTGTTGGGGGTTGCATTTCAAGCACAGTCATGTGACTTCATTCCGAAACAAAAATTCGGACGGATCCAAAATCCAAATAGCAAAACGAATCAAATTTCGGATCTTATATCCGAAAAAAAAAAAATCCGAACTGATCCGAAATAAAAACAATTCTTTTGCGGGGTTACATGACTAATAAGTCTCAATTTCGAAAGTAAACATATGAACAACTTAAAATACTAAAGTTTTAGTATCTAATTTGACACACCAATATCAAAAGGTTTATTTATTTCTATCAATTGGTCTTGCAGAGATCCTATATATTTATAAGTAACTACGTTTCATTATGATTTGCAGTATTCGTGACAATCATCAATTTTATATTAAATATCAAAGGGAAGTTTTAATCTTCGGTAACATATTGCAGCCAGCCATGCCTGCAGATATGTATGTTAAGACAGATCACTAGTTTGATGATGGCAAGTATGGGCTAGAGGCCTTGTCACGGTATGCAATGAATGTAACAAGGCCTGCAAATGTCATTGTGGATGTACAATTACTTGTAGAAGTGACCTTGTTTGAAAAAAGCAAAACCTTTTCCCATATAACTATGTAACTTGTCCCATAAAACTATGTAATTTGTTATTTTATTGCAACGTATGAAAAAGTTGCATTTACCAAAACTTTTATTTTTGTTTATATAAACTTCCAGACTCAAACATTGTTTGGTGAAGAATCAAACCAAATTGTGTCCTCCCTAGGGGGCAATGATGAGTGCCATAGAAGATAAATAATGCATTTAGCGCAGTGCATTTACTTGTATACACTTATTTACCATTTGGCCTGGCAGCTCACATTGGCTTCATGAGATATACATGTTATATGTAAAAGTTATGTTTATTTAAAGTATTTATTAGCGCGGCACAAATATAATTTTTTGTTAATAAGGAGTGCCAGTCAGAGGTATCATGCATGGAGCTTTTTTCACCTTTGTTGCAAAATCTCTGTTTGAGTGGGGCCAATCTTTCATTCTTTGAAGAAGAATCATTTATATGAAAGAATCACTGCAGGCAACAATTGAAATCAGTCAGCAAACTGTTAGTACCATTCACACTTATGTGCTGTGGCAAAAGGTTAGTGATATTGAAGTTAAAATGGTTTTTAAACTTTTTCAAATGCTGATTAAATCATTTAGAATGGATGCAGCTCTTTGAGGTTTTATAGCAGAATAAGCTGGTCCCTTGAACACTGGCCCTGATATCCTGTTTTACGGTGACGTTTTTTCCTTACAGGATCCTATGGAGCCACCCTTGTTTGCCCTATTGGGCTGTGTGTGTGTCTCCACAGACACAGAGGCACAGCAAGGCAAGCCACTCTCCTCCTCCCTGTTCTCCACTCCTTTCACCAGCAGATGGCCAGCTGCTGGAGACTGCTCTGTCCCTTGCAATTGCTTTTAAATAAATGTAAAGAAATACTTTGCTGTCTAATGTATATTTATTTGATCAGGGTTAATTACTGAAAAAAGCTTGAGAGTTTAAAAGAGAACTATGGCCAAACCTTTTTTTAGGGTCACAGGGGGACAGTTACTAATATCCTCCTGTGACCCAAAACTCAGCATATATGCTGAGCCCCAGAATATGCCTATCACATTTCTAAAACACAAAACGTGTATAGAAAACAGATAATTC